AAAAAATATATGTTTATTCAGAGAAAGTACGTTTTTGTGTCTGATTTCGTAACTTAATTAATAGTTAGCACTAATTAATTAGCATATTTGAGGTCACCCCCAGGAACCATTAAGATTAACACTTAGTTCGTGAAAATCCGATCATTAGAACGAAAATTATTCAGGGTGATATCTTTTTTTTTTTGCCGACTGTACCAACTGTTTCGACTCTTAAGAACAGCAAATTTACACAGAGCAAAGCATCTGGAATCGTATGCCACAGCATTAAAGAGAAGGGAAGCATGCTCTGTTATTCGATTTGCGGCGGTTTCGTCTTGAATTCACATTGTTTTTCAAACCACTTCTTCGGCAATTATACCTATATAGATTACAAAACAATTTTAAAAATCCTGATATTTTTTAAATGGAGCTATTACGTGATTTACAATTATTGAATCTCGAATTGCGTAAAAGAGTTATCACTTTTCGAGTTTTGACCACGTTAGTTCGATTTTGCATAGATTTTATCATAAATCCATGTGGTTTTCGAACGCAGACAGTTATTTTTATTTTATTATACAGTATACTCTCGATATCTTGAATTTCTATATCTCGAAACCTTGTTACGTCAAAAAAATATTTTCCTCTAATGTTATCCACCTAGTGTTAATTTTAATTCCTATGTCGAAGGGTTTCATCTCAAAACCTTGTAACGTCAAATTTTTTTCGAAATAGAAAATGAGTTTTTTGCTAAAAAAAATGCACAATGTAAGTTTAGTGTAAACCAATTCTTTTCTATTTAATCCATAATTATTTTTGTCTTACTTTTAAAAATTAGCATTGCTGTATTTTGACTTATAGTCAACTATCATTACAAACATATTTATTAGTAGTTATTCTTATATCTCATGACTCATACTTCTTAGAGCAATATTTTAGAGAATATATTTTCTACTTTTTAGAACATATTTATTTTTGAACTAGTTATCTCGAAAACTAGCATTTTTTTTTCTTTAGCTTCCCTTCAACTTTGAGACACCGAGAGTATACCGTACAAGATTTTCAAAATTGCAATTTTTTATAACACGACATAATTCTAAAACGCGGAACCAGAAATTTAAGAAATATTTATCAATGTGAAGATAAGGTAAAAAAATAAATCGACAAGAAAGTTGTGATCACCTTATTACGACCACTGGTTACCCATTGGTCAAATGCTTTTTCTTTCTGGATTGACTCCGTTAAGCATTTCAAATCATGGGTTGCAAAAACTGTCTCAATTGATGTTTGTCGCCGGATTGATTTTCATATCCTGCCTATGAACGTGTTTCAAGACGTCACAAAATACTTTTCCTTCTTTAGCATTCATATATATATATATATTAAAATCACCGTCAAGCCAGTAATTATACGTTAAAAATAAAAAGAATTTTAAAAATACTTTAAATTGTTATTAGGTAAATACATTAAAAGTGCCTGCTAGTAAAAAGAAAAAGAATAACAGTAGCTGTCGCCATAGCAATGCATGCAATGACGACGCATGCGCACTGTTTACTATTACTCTTGAACACAGTTGAAAAGTGTGTGGACGCCATCAAATCCAAACCATGACCCATTTTGCCAATAGGTAATAGTACTTTTTTTCCAGGTGATAGACTTTTATTCCGTTGATTTCTTTCTTTCATATTGATTCCTCTAATTTCCGATGATTAATATTTTTTTCCACGACCACACTGTGGACCAGAAGACCATGATCTTTGACCAAAAGTCAAAAATGAAATTTTCAACTAAAATATGTGCAGGAAGTTTTAATATAGCTTAAATTAAGTATTCATATAATCATTCCAAACATTATAATTTACTTTTTGGACCGACGAGAGTACAATGTAATGAAAAATATGTTTAATTTTTTTTTTTTTTTTAAATGTAACTTTTAAATTTTTATTTCAGAAATATATGTAGGAATTTCACCTTACTGTTACATTTTTATCAGAGTAATTGGTTTGAAATTACAGTACAATTTTTCAATTTGTTGGATTAGTTAATACTCTTGACAGACTTATAGTTTATATCTTATCATTTGGCATTTTACAATGTTTGGATGACTTTCGAAACTTAGTTCCAAAAAGTTCCACGAGGTAATTAGCTAAACTTTTTTTTGTTGTCTTCTTTGATGTTTCTTCCTTCGAAAAAACCTGCCCTATTTTGCCCGTATTGCTAAATATACCGAAAAACAAAAATTATGTTTTTTTCTCATGTTTTAGCGTTATTTTGTAATATTACTTCGGAAATATAATTAGCTTTTCATTTTTAATATAAAATTACGGAAATTATTATGTTTTCATTGCTATATTTAATTATTTAAACTTACTATACAATTTTTTTTACTTTTGCTCGCCATATTTCAGCTGCCATTTTGTTTTTTTTTTTTGGTATNTTTTGTCAGAGTAATTAGTCTAAATTTAAATTTCAGAAATATCTATAGGAATTTCACCTTTTTGTTACATTTTTGTCAGAGTAATTAGTCTGAAATTATGATTTCAATTTTTCAATTTGTTGGATTAGTTAATACTCTTGGCATACTTATAGTTTATATCTTATCATTTGACATTTTACAATATTTGAATCACTTTCGAAACTTATCTCCAAAAAGTTCCACGAGGTAATTAGCTAAACTTTTTTTTGTTGTCTTCTTTGATGTTTCTTCTTTCGAAAAAATCTGCCCCAATTTGCCCATATTGCAAAGGTGGACTAAATATACCGAAAAACAAAAATTATGTTTTTTTTCATGCTTTCGCGTTATTTTGTAATTCGCGTTATTTTGTAATTTTACTTCGGAAATATAATTTGCTTTTCATTCTTAATATAAAATTACGGAAATTATTATATTTTCATTGCTATATTTAATTATATAAACGTACTATATAATTTTTTTTTATTTTTGCTCGCCGTATTTCAGCCGCCATTTTTTTTTTTGGGGGGGGGGTTTTTTTTGTTTGTTTGNTTGTTATTTTTAGTGTATTTCAAAATTTCAACCAAGAATTCAATTTACCTGCACATAAAAAACCCTAAATAAAAACCTCCAAATTTTGAAACAAATTTTATCGTAATACTAATTTTGGCCACGACACCTTGGATGCTGGCCCACTGTGGATTGGGGGAAAAATATTGTGCAAGCTTATCTCTGAGATGTCTTTTTTTTTAAATAAATATTCAAATGTCGGATTAAAAAGCTGAGGATATCTCAAAATTCACAGGAACTGATCTACAGCGAGTTCTTCTCTCAGGGAGATCTAGAGAAAGCGATGGGAGTTCATCCAAGTGAAATGATGGACAGAGAGAAAGCATGCATTCCAGAACTTCAGATAGGATTCATAGAGAATATTGTTCTGCCTGCATACAAGTAAGAATCTTTTCACGATGTCCTGCACCACGGTAGTTTTTACATAAAGTTGACACATTTTAATTATTAATGGCGCAAAGGTTCATAATTCAGTCCTTCTCTCATTTGCAATTTTGATTATAAACAGTTTTTTAGTAATGTTTAAATGAAAAGCGTGAAGTTTTGTTTCTTAATTAATAATTTTATTTACATTTATCAAATATTCTGGCAATTTAATGTAACTTGCTACATTATCAACCGAATGATTAGTATACTGGTGAAATAAATTAAGAGAATTTGCATATCTTATCGAATTTCATGAAAAGAACTGAACTGAATGTAAAACCACTGCTTGCTTCTAGACAAAAATGCAAATCTTGTAAACCAAATGCGTAAGCGTACACGTGTTTGTAGGTGGAGCTAGTGGAGAAACAGGCTTTATAAGTGAGGGTAAATCTTGTGTTGGCGAATTTCTTGGTGTTATTTTGCGGCAATAGGTTAAATTCAAATTGTAACAGTGAAAATGAGTAACCACCAACGTTTAGATGATGGAATGAGGAGGCAAATTGTGGGGAGGCTAGAAGCAGGCCAATCTAAGGTTCAGATTTGTAGAGAGTTCAATTTAACGCCCAGCGTCGTGTGTAACTTATGGAAGCAGTTCCAGGATACCGGATCCATCGAGAGAAAGCCTAGGCAAGGTCGTCCAAGAGCCACGATGGCCAGAGAAGATTGCCATTTGGCCATTATAGTGAGGCATAACAGAGGGGCTACAGCTTCTTAGCTCTCTCGTGACTTGTATGTAGCCACGGGCACGCGTGTATCAAGGGTGACTGTTTCCAAACAACTTCATGAGAGAGGGTTGTTTGCAAGAAGACCTGCTGTTTGCCTCCCGCTCACTTTCACGAACAGGAGAGTCCGTTCAGCATGGTGCAGAGAGCAGAGATATTGCAGTATGGATCAATGTGCGACGATTCTCCACCTGAGGAGTCCCGATTCAGCCTAAACGCCAATTTTCGCCATACGTTCAATTGGAGAGAACCAGGAACCCGCTACCTATCTTCCAATGTCCGCGAAATCGGCAATTATGCGGAGCAGGTTTAATGATCTGGGAAGGCATCGTGTATGATGACTGCACACTTCTCGTTGAAAGAGGCTCTGTGACTGATGTGAGGTATAGGGATGAGATCTTGAAGCCCTATGTTTGCTTTTTCAAGGGTGCAATCGACCCTGAGTTCAAATTAATGAATGATAACACGCGACCCTTCTGGTCGACGAATTTCTAGAGAGTGAGGATATTCGCCGAATGGATTGGCCAGCCAAATCTCCAGTCTTCAACCCTATAGAGCATGCCTGAAACGCTCTGGGGAGGGCAATTGCAACTCGCTAAAAACAGCGCTGCTGAACGAGTAGGACCAATTGCCACAGGAAATGATAAACTGCCTTACTTCAAGTATGAAATGACGCTGCAAAGCCTGTATATTTGTCAGAGGGGACCATACATTAACCCATTTTTTTTGTTTATTCTGCAACAGCTGTTTCATACCTTCCGACTTCAACGAGTGTCGTGCACGATCATGCGTGTGCATTACAATTGTTGGATGGTTATTTGTTTTGTATTCTATCAATGTGTGTACACGTCATATTTCGTTAAAATTGGTTCAGTAGTTCTGAAGATAATCGATCAAATCTACAAATTCTCTTAATTTCTAACTCCAGTGTAAATGTTGTTTAAAAAAACCCTAGTAAGGTTCGAGAGAACTGGTAGTAAGAACATTTCATTTATTCCGAAAAAGTATCTATCCATGACCACCACTTTTTTTTTATTATAACAGGCCTGTAAATAGAGCTGACAACACTGTGTTATAAGCCTTTAGAGGATTGTTTAAAATTAAAATATCAACAATGTTATAATATTTATTAGTAATGGTTATTAACTACGTTGTCAGCAATAGAGATTCTTTAGTAATATTGCGAGATTAATTTCTATTAATGTTTCACAATTTTGCATTCATTATTTTAATGTAATCTGGTTTAACACAAAGCTGACAATAAGCGTAAATACAATTTATTAACTGTGATATAAGAGTAAAACGATTAATAAGTCTTGGTACCGATTTAAGTAAAATTATGTTGCATCATAAGGAAATTATCGAAGTTACTAAATAATACAGATGCACTGCTTTAAAATTTAGAATAATAATAAAAATCAAAAAACTTTCTAATAACAGAGAACAAAGAGCTTAAGAAAAGATGATAATTAAATTATACTGTTTTATAGATCATGTACAAGTAACGTACTCGTTATAGACCAAAGTCAAGACTCGGAATTCAAATTCATATACTTCTTTCTAAAAAATGTCAAAAACAATACTTTTAAAAAGATATAAAAAAAACTTTCGAGATGTTAACTGAATCTAAATTAAATAAAACCTTATAAACCTAAATAAAACTTATGTAAAATGTTTGTCTGTATGTATCATGCTCTTATATTTCCAGAATTCTAGTGTCACTATTTCCTAAAGTGGAGGCAACGCTGAACGCCGTACAAACAAACCGATTATTTTGGGAACGTATGAGAGACGTGTACAAGCGCCGTTACAGCTGCAGCACATCATCCCTCGATATGTTCGAAGACGAGAGTTTGGAGCAAGAAGTTTTGGCAGCCCTAAATTATGAGTCTGACTGAACCTCAAAAAAGTGCAGAAATCGAGTTTATTAATTAATACATCCAAATTCGATGGAATATCCATTTGAGTTCGCGCCGCAAAATAAAAGTAAATATTTGTTTTCCTCCTAACCTGACAACCGGAATAAATCGATTGACTATACTGGGAGTCTACTTGAATTCGTGTCGAAAAATAAATAGTTAAAAAAAAAGATAAATAATTGTTTTCTAACAACCAAAATAAATCAATGGACTACTTGGAGTCTTCAATTAAGTTTGTACCCCACGGGGCTCATTTGCCAAAGATCAGAAGCCTCGTCGAACGAAGCTGACGATCGCCATCAAAGCGGACAAAATGGCCCCGAGTCACGCACGACTAAAATCCCCACAAACATGGCGGTGAGCAGATGAAACTTGTCAAGCCCCTAATGCTGACTTACGCAGGGAAGCAAACCGACTGCAAAAGCATCAAAATTGTTTCAAAAATACAAAATTCAGCTCAAATTGGAGCTCCATGGATGCCTCACAAAAGATAGGGAATTCAAATTCAGAATATAAATAAATGACCAACAGGACGGGAAATCCTATGACATTGAAGACTCATTTTCATGACTCATCTGGACTCGTTATCCGGACTCATTATCCAGCACATTATCCGGCTCGTCATAAGCCTCATTATCCGGCTTCTAAACTGTTTTAGGACCTTCTGCTCACCTGGCAATCTCTTCTTTTTAATAAAAAGCATCAGCTAGCCAAACCGATTGCATGTGCTCAAATGTCTGCTTTTAGGGGTTTTCCTCCCCCTCTCTTTTCACTTCCACCCGCCATGGCTTGCAAAAAATCCAAATCAAGAGAAATTTGGTAGGAAAATGTAAACTTAAATCAAATTAAATGTGTTTTGCTTTGTGGAAAACTGACTAGGCCCCCTATGCCCTCCCGAAGGAGTTCAGCCCTGCACCACGATGAGATGAGGGTCAGAAAATGTGGTATTTCTGGATATAAATATAGAATGTTTCTGACTGCTCCTCGTAGAGGTGAAGTCACTGGGACGCTGCCACCTCTCTGGAAGGAATCTTTTACCTCTAACTTCTCACAAAAGTTTAAATCTCTATGTTAGTACGACAGTCAGGGACGAGAGGGAAATAAATAAAGTAAAATAAAATAAATAATTATTTTCCTCGTAGCCTGGCAACCGAAATCAATCATTTTACTACTGGGAGTCGCCATTTGAATTTGTGCTGCAAGTATTCTTGAAGTTTTTTTTTTTGTACTCTTTACAAAGTAGTACCTACAAGGCACTGTATGGTAATTCTAACTAACGAAGGATAAATGGAGAAAAAAAATTCAATACTGTGCATAATGAATTTTTTTGACATTCGATTAATAATTATTAAGCTCGATTTTTGCAATCTTTTTCGTAATTGCTTTCGAAATCCAAGTTTTTTTCATGAAATTTCATTTACCGCTCTGAAATTGTATATCCGTCTTTCATATAAGGCGAGTCTAACAATTTTGGGTGAATGAAAGCATCAAACAGAACGTGAAAGAATTTAAAAACTGGAGAAATTGCGCACAACGAGCACCGGAGGTGTCAAAGAGTACTGTACGCTCGCTGCGATTCCAGGTATTTGTACAAAAGCAGTACTACAGTCTGTATTTGAAAAAACAAACTGATTGATACGAATTCCTGGGATAAAACATGGCTGTTATGTTCCGTTTATTATAATGCAAGTGCCTGAATTTTCATAGCCCTTAATCATCTATGGAATAAAAGTGTATAAAATATTTATAATTGAATGATTTCTTGGCTAATTATGCGTACTGGGATGGTTGTTTCTAGAAAAGGTCAAAATTTTTAAATAAAAAGCCGTCAAGATAGTTGGATAGGAGCATTGTTTATAGAGATTGCACAGTGTTTAGAGCAGCCACGAAAAATTGGACAAACTATGGCAACTATTTAAGATTCATAATTCCGCAACCGTAATTTGTTTCTGCTATAATTAAAATTCTTTCATTTTTCTCGTTTCTTAAATCAATAAGTGGAAGTATTTGATTCTAACAGTATGATAGTGATTTACAAAAACCTTGCAACAATTTCATTTAAGTGCAATTGTTTTTATTAACTACTTAATTGTAGCTATTGGTAATAACAATCTCTCCTACCCCTGTGTGCATTGTCTCCTTCTCCGTCAGGAGACATTGAGAAAAAGAATTTTTTGCGGTTTCATTGCAGTCTTTGTTTAAAATGAAAATATAAAAGCAAAATAATAATGAAAATGTCTGGAAAACAGACGTAGTTCGTTCAGTGAAAAAATAATATTTACTATTTCTAACTATTTTGTTGAATGATGTGCAAGCTCTCCTAGTTCTACCTTATCTTTATTCCAAGTAACTTAATCAGTTATTTACAAATACACTTTTGACCATCGTCCGGAGCCTCAAGTTATTCGATCCATTGATTTATGTTCGCACTAAGAGTTGACGTTATTTCTTCTCTATCAGTCGCATGAGTTTCTGTTACGCCTAATTTTTGACATTCTTTTCCCATTTCAAATAAACAAGAATTTAACTGTTAAACGAGACTAAATATGAATATTTGCCTCCAACTTTGTTAGAAATCATGCTTGTTGCTCTCCAAGCAGGAACTCTTTTCCTGGCTTCAAACAAAACTTGAGACAAATATTTATAAAGACATGTAAGGAAGCTATCATCGCAATTACTGTTTCATACTCATTGGTAAAAAGTATAGAGAAAAATAAACCTATAAAAAGCAATGAAGTTCCAAATGCTTAAAAAAAAAAATTTCAAAATATAAAAATACGAAAAAAAAGAAAAATCGGTACTTTGGGATTGTCCCGTCGACTATTTTTGTACTTTGAGTTAACCCCGTCGACCATTTTCGTATTTTGAGATTATCCCGTCGACCTTTTTCGACCATTTTTGCCAAATCCGATATTATCGCCAAAAGGTAGCTTCTACGCTAATAACTGCAAATTTTATGTTATTTACTGTGTAATCCTTGACAACACGAGTTAGTTTTCTTTATGTTGAAATGTACTGTTTTTTTTTTTTTTTTTATTCCACTACAAAATGATTGCACGGGATAGTGACTTGTTTGTTGTGCTTTAAAAGCTATCAAGGATTTTTAGCCGCCGAAATTATTTATAATAATATATATGGTTAGATTCAAGAATTATTCAATGAGTAATTATAAAAAAAAATAGAGGTTTTCACTTTGCTTTGATTCTTTTTATTACACTTTTTTATTACGTTTTTTACACTTACATTTTTTTTTTGTTGTTATTATTATTTTATGATTATTATTTGATAAATTTAATATGTTTAGAATGTTTATTTTGGAAGTTGCTTTTCATCATAATGGTGCCAAAAGACTTGCTCATTTTCGCTTGCGTTGACAGGTCGACGGAATAATCTCAAAGTACCAAAAACTCATTGGCAGATCCCACTGTAATCCTACACTAGTTTGCATTTTGGCATTTTAAAAATTTATGTATTTGAAATAATTTTTTCCATACAGTAATTTTTCGCACACGTCGTTTGTACCTGTCTTACCATTGCTTTTGAGATTCACCCAAAATTTTAGACCGATCTTGTATGACTACTGCACACTTAAGCTATATAGTTTTTATTATTGTATTGAAAAGTATTCGCTTCTGTTATGTGTTGCCCATTGAAAACTCTGCAAATTCATTTAAGCAATGTATTAAAAAAAAGAGAGACTGGTTTAAAATTTTTTATTTGACATTTTTAGCTAAAGTTCTATGTTGAAGTTGAACAGACATTATGACTTAAATTTTTTTTAATTTTAATTTTGTTGTTTGTGATTATTGTTATGTGAAAGTCAAATTTTGATCATTTTTAAAACTTTCTCAACGTTTCAAGCTGAATTGTAGTTCTCTGTTTTTAAATGTGTACAGTTTTTGTTCTATTTGATGTTTCAATTTGGTATTTTATTCTGTGTGTCATGTGTTATTACCCTCTTCATGAACCTAATTTATAAATGAAACTCGTACATGATCATCATTTATTTACCATGTTGTGGCTCGGAATTTTGGCGATCGCAACGCTCGAATACGAAAGACCGTTTTCATGTCTTTGACCCTTCTCCCTTCCCTATCCTCCTCTTTTCAGTTGTATTGGAATGTACTGCGATATTTTCCCTTTTCTTCATATTTTTCCCTTTTATTTGATAAAAATATTTTTTTAAATTTCCGTGATGCTTTTCTTTAGGACTATGTTTAATGTAGTTTTCAGTTCCATACAGTTTTTAGATTTTAATCTATATGGAAATCAAGAGAGAAGCTAACGTACTTCCTTCCTCTATGACTCTCCACACGCTAATGGGGAAAGCATGCGAAGTATTGCCTTAGGTAGAGAGTTCTGCTCTACGCCACCTGCAGCCCATTTCGATCGCCAATATCCGAGTCTTAAAAAAATTATTGCCAAATATCTATGTTCTTTTTTTCACGTGGTACAAATGAATTTAAATTAAGCTTTAATAAACGATCACTCTGCACAATCATTGTTTTAAAAAAGCAGAAAACAGTATTGAATCCATTTTGCCTCTCGGTTCGCAACAAAAATTTTCGATTCATCATGTAATGCGGACGCAGTGTATTTCTACCTTATGTAACTGAAATAGAAATTTTTATGTACCACAAAATTTCCAAAATAATTTGAAATTCATTAGCATCGAAAACATTGTCACATTATCATGATCATAAGTTACCTTTTTTGGGGTCAATGAAGATCAGACGTCGCATTATTATAATATGTCACCAAGTAATGATTATCAGTTTCTGCATCACAAAATTTATTAGGATAACGCTTTATTAGTAATATTATTTAGCACTACTGATTTTTTTTCTAAAAAAAAATGCCTTGCTCTGTATTTACACTTTAATTTTATGTTTTGTAATCTTGCAACTTACTAACAAAAATATTTTTAAATAATTTTTGCAAGATGTTCGTAAATACACGTCGTCCGTTATATGTTCCTATTTGTGTTCCATTTTGTATTTTTCTTTAATTTTTTGACATTTTTGCCTGATTCTCTGTTTTATGTTCGAATCAATTTCTTTGTTTGTTTTTTTACTGGTACTGTTGTATTGATGTGTTTTGTTATTTTAAGAGGTTGATATACAGCGGGAAAAAATTTTAATCGCAAATTCCATTTCTTCTCTAATTTAAAGTATAGAAAAAGTGAGCTCAAGCCATGAAATTTCTAATGCGCATTCTTAGTTGCGTACCACTCTTATAATTTGTTTTAATTTTAACATTGTGAAAAAAAAAATTCTGTATTTAAAACTTCCTGGCTTAACCCATATTTTTTGTCTTAACTCCTTTTTTCTATACTATAAATTACTTAGTGAAAGTTTTTCCGGTGATATAGGTATGATATATATATNTGATAGTATATAAATCGCGATATCGTAACTTTTGTTTTTATTTAAGAAGATAGAAGACATTATTTGATTTATGTTTGTTGAAGCTTACATCAAAAATAAGAAAAAATATCGAAAGATACTTGTTTGAAACCAAAAGGTGGAATTACTCGTAACAATAGAATTTCTTCTGCGTCAAATAATAAAAAAGAACATCTAACCAAAATGGAATTTATTACCAAATCGAAAATGAATACCTTTAAATTTTCCCAATCGAATTATTATAAAATAAAATAAAAAATGTTGATGTATTGAAATTTTGAAGGGTTTTTTTCTTTTCATTTCTATTTCTGTTTATTATCTTGCTTTGAAAATTATTTTCCCACCATTTCATACTCATAATGTCACATTTTGGTTGAATGGGTGTTCCTTCAATAAAGTGTGACTCTTTTCTATATCGAATGAGCACGATAATCGAGAAAAAGCTACTCATTGCCAAAATGAAGTTTCCAATGATGAAAATAATCAGACCAATAACATGTTCCGTAGACAACTGTTCCCAAGTCAAAATTTTTGATGGTTTTCAACTGATGTACCAACATAATCTTGATGGTAAACATCAGTAATTCCATCATGAACCATTTTATTTTTGATAGTAACCAACATAACCAATGTCAGAATTCGGACTGATTTATGCTAGCACAACTTTAGGAATAGAATAGCAACTTGTTTTGATAGTTTGCTCATGTTGAACAATCAGAAATTTCCATCTTAGCTTCTTAGAAATCAAATGTTGGAACGATCATGAACAGCCAGCACCCCAATGTAGAAATTTGGACTGGCCCAACTTTAAGAATAGCAACTTGTTTTGACGGTATATTTCTGCTGAACCAACAATAATTGTTATTAAACCATCATGAAAATGCATTGTTGCACCATTATGGACAATCACGAATTTTCATCACAGTATTTTAGAAATCAAATGTTGGAACGATCATGAACAACCACCATCCCAATGTAAGAATTCTGATTGATTTATGATATGCCAACATAAAAAACACGTAAATTATATTGATGGTGTATTCCTGCTGAACCAACAATAATTATTATTAAACCATCATGAAAATGCATTGTTGTACCATTATGGACCATCATGGATTGTTGGTCAATGAGAATCAAACTTCTCTTGCTGATTAACCATCAAAGTAACCATCAAGAATTTTGACTTTGGTTAGAATTATTACAAAACCACCCTGCAATCAAAGAAAAAAAAAACTTTTGTGTTATGCTTAAACATAATGCAACAATACTTATAGTCTGCCTATGGAAAGAATTTCCCTCGTCATTCATCTAGAACTGTGGTGGTGACCATGGTTACAAGGTTTAACTATTTCAAATAATAATTGATCAATATTTAAGACAGGTTGGATCATAGATTTTGGCTCTGGTCAGCGAGAGAAAAGGAAGCTCTCTTCTACGAAATGAGCTATTTTTTGTCGGCATAGCAGCAGAATACACTAATAAAAATGTCTGAAATGTTATGTATAGATAGACTGAAACGTCTGTTTGTTGAAATAAGTTTTTTTTTTTAAAAACTTGTTAGTAATGTTCAAATGTTTTTCTATTCTTCTGTAAAGGTCTATTCAACTTAATTTTATTTGATAGATTAAAATGTGTCATTAAAGACTTTTATTAAAAGAAACCTCTCATTGATGAATTAACTCTTATTGTTTTGTTGTTTTATTTTTTAAAAAAATAAAGGAAGAAAGCCAAACAGCTTTTAAAATAAGTAGACACATATCCTGTTAAAAAAAGTTTTATAAAAAACATTTTTTGAAAAAAGTTTTAGAAAAAAACTTTTTTTTAACTTCTAATAATATTTTTACATTTATTCAATTACCCATTCTATGTTTTTAAAATTCAAAATTAATATAAAAAGTGTACATAAATAAAAATAAAATAAAGTAAAGAAAAGAAACAAAACACTTTAATAATTTACGACGGAAGTAATGCCTAACTGGTCATCATTGTTTCGCTCTAAAATATCCATATTTTTGTCGAAAAGTAATTAAATGTTTACAAATTAAGTATAATTATGATGGAAAGAAAATTTTGTTAGTAAAATATATTTTTCAAGCGATGAACTTTTTTTGATTAAAATATCATAATGTACATCTAATTCCTACGTTTACTTTATGAAAATCCATTTTTCATATTTGTTACATCTTTACTGTAACTTCGAATCCAATTATAAAGATAAACATATCTTCGACCTCACCTCTGGGAAGTCAACATTTTCACCCAGTTACAAAAAAGTGACAAACCATGAAAATGTCACATTTTTTTTTCCAGTGGCTTGATTTAACTACGACAGGAGACTAATTTTTGTCAGCATTGTGCTTTTACTCAAACTAAATCTTTTCTTATGGTAGCATAAATTTGTGGGAAAAAAGACCAGACTATTTTTGTAACACTCTCGATATGCATGATTTTTGACGGAAAACTGATAAATAGTTAACTAAATACTTGCAGTCACAATAAACTTTTCAAACGTGTGTGTTAATTTATTCATTGACTGATCTATAAAAATATAAAAAGTTCATTTTTTGCTCAAATAATTATTTTAATTCTTTATTTTTTGCAAATTTTGCTATTAATTATTTTTTGCTTATTTTTTACACATTTAATTATTTTTTAATTATTCATACGTTTTGTTTTGCAATTTTTATATTATTACCTCATTAACTGTATTATTTTCGTTTAGTAATGCAATTGTATAGTCATTACTGCCCAACATAGGCGTGCTTACATGGTGGACCATGGCCCACCGTAATTTACTTTTCAGATAAACGTAAAATTAAGAGACTTCTTAATTCGAATATAAATTTTGCTTAATGATATTAAAAATCGAATAAAAATAAAGCATTTTTTTTTGTCTTTTAACCATTTTTTTTATTCAAATCATTTAGCGTTTTTTTTTTTACTAAGTTTGGTTTTTTTATTTATTTATTTTTGTATGTTCTTAGAAGCTAAAAGGCCTCTTATAAAAGGAAAATGAGATTATAAGTGATTGATAGTACAATCGCTTGTCTCAAGAATCTATACGCGCAATGATAAAAGCAGGTGTTTTTAACTATTTTCTTAACAGGTAAAAAGGTTGTTGATCACTAATTAGGACAGCAGCAATGTATAACCTCGCGAGATCAGCCTTTTCTTAGAATATAATCGCAAATAAATTTGGGCTTTCAAAACAGAGCCGATTTCTTTGTTTCATTTTATGTTTTAAGATGTGATGGGGGGGAAAAGTAGTTATTTTAGCAGACTATTTAGAAAAACAAAAATGCATTTCTGGTAAAGTAAGTAAAATATTTTAATTTTTTAAAAATTCTAAATCGAAATTGTCTTATTGAAAGTACTAATGGCAAAAATTTGAAAAAGAAAATCGGAATTTTTATCATATAAAAAATACGAGTGAAAGTATTTGGTGTAATTTTAGTTATAAAGGATTTCAAAAATAAAAACACTGTGGACATTATAAATAAAGTTTATTTTAATTTTGGACTAGCGTAACGTAATATCCATTCTTAAAAAAATAAAAAATGTCAATTAAGTTTGAAAAAAAATATCGACTATAGTCGATATTTATTAAGTGCAAGTACCCAATATATTGGGTACTAGCACTTCAAGAACAAGAAGACCTCCTATACACACATATGCAACCTATGGGCGATCACAACGCTCGAATACGCCATCTGGGGAGAAGACCAGTTCCATGCCTTTGGCCCTTCCCTCTTCCATCTCTTTCTCTTTTCAGTTGTATCCTTTTCTTAATATTTTTCATTTTTAATTAATAAAAATATTTTTTTTAAATTTCCATGATGCTTTCTTTTAGAACTATGTTTAATGTAGTTTTCAGTTCTATATAGTTTCCCAACTTAAAAGATTTTACTCTATATGAAAATCCTGACACAGAAACTGACATACTTCCTTTTTCTATGACTCTCCACACGCCAATGGTGAAAGCATGCGAAGTGTTGCCATAAGTAGAGAGTTCTGCTCGACGCCACCTGTAACCCATTTTGATCACCAATAACGTCAGTGCCACCTAGTCTTTATCAGGAAAATGGTAAACGTGTTTTCCAACGCATGCATACTAAATTTTGTGTGGACCGTTTCAAAACTGCGGATTTGTAAAAGTATTAACACACATTCCGCTTTATTTATATGGATAACAATGGGACGAAATCAAGTAAAATTCAGCACTTTGTTATGAACTAATGAACATTATTTTATCTAGAAAGTCTTGCATATTGAAGTCACATTCAACTATAAAAACGCTTATAGTGGACTACCCTTACGGATGGTTGATCGTGTAGAGCTAAACATATGGCGCTAGGATTAAAATTCGTTGTAAGACTTCCGGGTCACTACTTCCGACTAATTTTCACGTCTATGGATAGTGTTTTCTACACTAAGGAGCGCTGCAAGCTCGGGACTGCCTAAATTTCCGGGTTACTGTTTCAGTTCTATTTCATATAGTCATCATTCATATATATATCATCATTCAGTTCTATTCATTCAGTTCTAGTTCATATATGTCTTTACACGTAAAATAGCAATTATTAATACAGCAGCTATATCTGGCTCTTATATGAGTATCTTGTGTAGCTTTTATAATGCCCCTATTAACGCAAAACAAGTAGTACCTAGTTCGACGATTAAAAAAGTATCTATCACATCATCAACAATAGTTTGCCAAATATATTATGCTCCTCGTCCTCTCCTAAAGATAAGTATTATATGCAAGGGCGCCGGCAGAATAATATAAAGGGGGGTGCAACCTCTAACAAACTACCCTCCCCTCCCCCCGAAAAAAAATTAAAATATTCTGCAATTACATTTTGTTTTGTTATTACATATACTTTCATCTGTTCATTTTTTCAAGATACATTTCTTCATTGTTAGCAAGATATTTAAAAAAATGTACGAATTTCTTGTACTTGCAAATTTTGCCCAGAGGCGATCGCGCTGGCATAGCTACTGACTTTGAAACACAAATAACTACAAACAGTAGTTTCGTATACTAACGTGTTTGTGCACGCTTAACATTGGTATTTATTGTGTTGATGAAGTTTTACAGTTGCGAGAAGTCAGTTTGTGTTATACACCTTTGTTAAACTGAATAACTAATAGAAAATATAATATTATTTACATTTTATTAAACGAAATTTAAAAATATAGCTTAGATATCTGCCAAGTTTGTGAATGCTCAGTGTACATAAGAAAAGAATCAAAGATGACTCAGAATTCATTGAAAAAGTTATAAACAGATTTGGACAGCAAACGAGACGATTACAATTCTTGTTTGATTAAATATTTTTTTAATTTTTATGTATCAATAATTACTTAATTATTTGCTTTTCCATAAAAATAAGTTTAATAAAAAAATTTTATAACAAAATTTTTCTGTATCTCTTTAATTGTTTTTTTAAAAAAAAAAGCCAGGGGGGTGCAAGTGCACCCCCTTGCACCCCGCTGCCGGCGCCCTTGATTATATGTTTTTTTGAATTTATGAAGCAGGTAGTGTTAACAATAAGTATTTTAAATCGAAATGTCTTGACACAACTGTAAAATAATAAATATCTAAATTGAAAGAAAAACAATTTCTATTGATTATTGTAGTGTTCTTTAAAACACATTGAATTTGTAATCAAAGTGTTCATTTGTGGAATTTGGAGAAAAACAAAACAGCAAAAAGTTTATTAAAACCTTTTTTTTTACTATAAATTGAGAAGATAATTGCTTATTTAAATTCATATTGCATTATAAATTAATGTACAAAACTTTTCAGTTAATCAATCTTAGATTTGATATTTAATTTTACTAAATTTAATATTTAATTTTTTAAGACCATTATGATCATAAAACTAAAAAGGTAAAGTATTTTGTTTACAAATTTTAGTACTTTCGGTTAGGCGGGGGAAAAGATATTCAAAAAAAAATTTTTTTTTTATGAATGTCCATTTAGTTCAGAATTTCAAAAAAAAAAAATAATAATAACAATAAAATTCAGCTTATACTTCTATTAAAAATATTATGCTAGGTTACTAAACATATTATTAATCAATTAAAGTGTGTTTTATTGCGCAGAAGGTGCAAAAAATTCTATAATATGATGCTATAGATTTATCTGTAAACAAATTTTCAGTTCCCAAACACACAAAGCCAAACACTTATGTAATAGATGCAGATTTAAAATCATTTACTGATTCTATAGAGTCAATCATTATAAAAAAAATTTATTGAAATTGACAGGGTCATAATTAATTCTCTAGCATTATATTGTTTACATAATTTTGTCTGATTTTATATTAAAATGATTTATATAATGATATACTCTGCACACAAAATTAACTAAAAATCTCAAAAATTAAAATAAGAAAAAAACATTGTTGACTGAATGAAAATCTACTTTATATGAAAAATCTTTCTTTCAATATGAAGAACTTTTATCGTTAGCACTTTTCATTTTCTTCTCCTATGTCTTTCCACATGCTAATGGTGAAAGCATGTGAAATGTTGTCATAGGTAGATAGTTCTGCTCGACGTCACCTGTAGCCCCTTTAGATCGCCAAACGGCGATAGCATTGCTCGAATATGCCATCAGGGGAAAGACTGGTTTCATGTCTTGGCCCTTCCCTCTCTTCCTCTTTTCAGTTGTATAGGAGTGTATTACGATATTTTCCCCTTTTTTAATATTTTTCCTTTTTATTTAATAAAAATATATTTTGAAATTTCCGTGATGCTTTTCTTTAGAACTGTGTTTAATGCAGTCTTCAAATCCATATAGTTTTCCAACTTAAAAGATTTTAATCTATATGAAAATCAAGAGAGAAACTAACATACTTCCTTCCTCTATGACTCTCCGCACGCTAATGGGAAAAGCATGCGAAGTGTTGCCATTGGTAGAGAGCTCTGCCTTACGCTACCTGCAGCCCATTTCGATCGAAATAGGCATTTTGCAATGAAAGCTGTAAGCAAATATTAAATTTTGTATAAATTTTAAGTGTAGTGCTTTACCAACAGACAACCGGTCATCTTTCACAACCATTAATAATCATTTATCGATCTTTATTTTTTTTTATCTCTTTACTCATTTATGATAATTTACCAAAAGTGTTACTAATTTTTTTTATCAGCTTGAATTTATCCCCTTTCTTGTACCATTTCATATTTTCTTACGACAAAACTAATAACGTGAGAAGGTTGAACATGTGTTAATTGTCATCATTTGTGCTAATTGTCATCATGGAGTTTAAGTCAACTTTAATGAAATTAAAAATGGTGGCCGTTGAGCCCATATTATTCTCCTACATGATGATTATTTTTATGGAATCGAATGCTATACAGGAACTGGTTTTTGTGAAGTCGTGCATACAATTAAACAATCCAGTCAACATTAGTGACTGTAGCTACGAACTGAAACAAAACTTGACCGAATCTGTTGAAGAAGCGGCTATGTGGTCGAAGTATAACAACTGCTGTCTCTTCTTCTGCACTTTTCTGAGTTCCCTATTTGTTGGTTCTTGGAGCGATCGCTTTGGTCGAAAGTTTCCCATGCTCATACCTCCAATTGGCAGCACATTTGCAGCTGCAGTCAATTGCATTCTCTCTGTGTACATCAAAACTCACCCTGCGTTTTTCATTATAAGTTCAGTAATATCGGGTTTATCCTTTGGCAGTGTCGGCATTATTGCCACCACTTTTGGCTATATCTCCGACTTTACTCACGAGCAATCTCGATCCAAACGAATAGTGATATTAGAATCTATGTTATTTACAGGTGGGACGACAGGTATATACATAGCTGGATTGTTTTTAAAGCATGTGAATTATGACACAAAAGTGAACAGCTTTGCTCAGCTTTTTATCTTCGAAGGAATTGTATCTGCTCTTATTGTGAATTACATAGCTTTCCGTATTCCAAAACATACCTCGGATGCGCAGTCGCTCGATTCTCACACAACTGGATTGTTTAATCTGAAACATATTAGTGATTCACTTAGAACGGTATTTCGATTTCGAGAAGGGGGGCGGCGTACAAAAGTGCTGCTGATGCTTTTTTCTTTATTCTTGATCTATTTTGGTAGTGCAGGTAAATGGCTCAATATTTTCTTTCTTATATAATTAGCTATTAATTTAATAATTAGTTTATTTTTTAGAGGAAATGTAAGATGGTGCAGAAATAATAATTTTAGTTAGTAACATGTATTTAATTGTTTTTAACTGCTTGAAAAAATTACAGAGTGAACGTTACAAAAGAGTCATTCTCTCACATTGAAAAAATAAGCATTATTCGCTTATTTTCTCATAAATAAAATTAAAATAACAATATTCTTAAACTATCCCATATGGGAGAATTAGAACACTTATTTTTAGATTTTTTGAAAATAAATTACAAAATTGTGACTCAATTGTGAAAATAAATTACAAAATATGCATTTATTTGCTCCTGAAGCTTATTCCTACGAATGAAATTAAAATAACATTATATATTCTTTCTACTTTGTCCCATTCCAGGAAATTAAAACACTAATCAATGCATTTTTATAAAGTAAATTCACTTTAAATGAAAAAATGAGAGTGCCGTCTTGACATTTATTCAGTTTGCTTCTATAGTTTCTTTTTACATTCCCTGAAAAACTTCAAGGCACCTGAATTGCTGAAATTTGTTTTGCAGTTTTATCAGAGCATGTGCACTGTTTATATCCAAATAGTAATACCATTTATCTGAAACATACTGAACTTCTATAAGTGAAAAAAATTATATAAATTATGAGTTGCAGGCTTTGTTGCTAAATAAAAAACCAATTTAAAGACCAAAAAATTTCACTTAATACATCGAAACATTACTATGAATGTTGATTTTAAAAGATAAAAGTTGAACAAGAAAGAAAAAATGGTTATTTCCAGGGAAGACACTAGGCTTTCAAAATCCCGGGTCCCTGGGACCCATGACTTTTAAAAAACTGGGTCCTTTTGAAAAAAAATGGGTCCTTTACATAAATTTTTAAACAAATATAATCTTTCTGAAAAATACTTAATAGATTATTAGTACATGAATTATAACAATTANATTTATATTTTATAATATTTTGAAATATATTTATATTTTTTTCCCTCACCAAAGTTTTATTTTCTTTAACTGCTCTTGTGTTTTCAACAGCGCTTTGAACATGCTTGTCAAAGCATCGTCCTAAACATAGCACGAGGAATCATTTGAGAAAAAGTATCTTTTTGATATTATTAGTCTTTTTCTTCTTTTTGTACAATCAGAAAGTTATTCTTTAAAATTCTCTGAGTTTATAAAAGGAAATATTTATTCTAATAATTTCTTCCTATATATCTATAGTTGCTGGTTCTTTTGAATGAAATTTTCTGTAACATACACAATGTTTTTTTTTATTATTTTAGTGCAGACCACTCTAGGATACTACTTTGTTAAAACCCTGGGATGGACTTTTCAGGAATATACATTATTTCATTCCATTCAATTTGGTGTTGAAGGACTAGCATTATTGTTTGGATTACCAACTTTACTTTACTTTTGCCATGTACCTGACCATATCTTTGCTGCTCTTGGAATGATTTCAAGAATTGCTGGCTTTGTTATGTTTGGATTGAGTTATACAGTTGGCATGGTTTATAGTTGTAAGCATAATGTATACTTATTTAATACATACTTATAATTTTTTTTTAAACCAATGCATATTTAAGTGCTTAGTTTTCTTTATTTGTAGATTGTTCAAAGTTATTGTGATTTAAATAGATATATGAGTTACAATCTGGAATTTTCGAATTTCTGTAATTTCTTGTTATATTTGTTTAGATATGCATTTTATTATTTGTCTCACTTTCTATAAAGTTTTAAATTCATTAATATGTAGTATATGATTTAACTTTTTTTTCTGCCACCATTTACATTTGTATTTTAGCTGACCGGCCTGTGTAGGGGTTAGGGAACTGCCCTTGCATCAGAAAGATTCTGGGTTCGAATCCCATCCAAGGCATGGATGTTCTTTCCTTCTCTGTACTATCTGTCCTTACTGTGGGAGCAACGTTGGCCCACCTAATATATTGCCCCTGAAAGAGTGGCCAACAAATCTGCCCTTCAGATGCCTGTATGATCTAGGTCATTATCCAGATGGGCATTGGAAAAAAAAAAAAAACATTTGTATTTTATCCCCTTTATTACTGTAACCTACCTTCTATTAATATTTTAATAAGAATATAAACTATAAATAATGTTTTATTTTTAAAGTATTCAATCTTTATTTATTTTAATTTTTGATGTATTTAGCATTCATAAAATACCTTGTTTGAAGCTTCTAAAATTTAAAAAAATAAATATATATATTGTTTTGTATTATTAATTTTTAAACAATTTCTAAGAAACTTTAACTTTAATAAAATCAAAATCTTTTTTAATTTTTAACTCAAATACTATCAGTTCTATCAATATCTTTCACTTTTTTTTTATTAAAATCTAGATTACTTTTTATTATCTATATTAAAATTAGATTCTTTTTAGGATTCAGGCCCTCCGGGCCTCTTGCCAGCCTGCCTTTAGACAGGTGCGCCTCAAAAGAAAACTGTGTTTCAAACAAAAGATTTTTTTTACATATAGACGATTGAAATCCTTCTATGTGGCTATTTTTGTTTTGAAAAAACATTCAGAGTCGTGGCTTTGTATTTTAAAACATGTGAATTATAAAAATTATAGATGCACCCTTTCAGATAAAACAATTAAAATATTTTGCAATAAATATGCGATTTTTTATATTGAATAAAATATGGTGTCTTGGCTTTACATTTTTCAAACTTAGGAACATAATTATTCCTGGAAAATATAGTATCTTTAAAATTTACTCTTGGAGCCACATTTTCCGGTTCTCATCCTTCTCTCTCTGTCGCTCGATATTTGCATGGTTATGTAGCACTTTTAAAAAGTGCTTAACGGTACTTATTTTTGTTTTTTAAAAGCCCTGAATAGTGCTTTTTTCCTTGAGTATTTTTAAAAAGTGTTTAATTTTCCCTTTTCAGAAATTAGATTTTTTTTTCTTTACCATGTCGATTTTTGCCCCGTATTATGCAAAAGCGAGATTTTCGCATTGTTTCATTCAACATTCTCACAATTCATTCAACCACAATCTATTTTGTCGGACCATAGCGTATGAAAGCACAAATCATTTTACATGTTTGATGAAATGCTAGCGAGTTCACGTGTGCATCTTCTGAGCTGGGTTCGGTGAGATTATTGTACTCTCCTGTGCAACTCTGCTGCATTTCACTAATATTCTTTATTTGAGGCTTTATTTTCCACTCTCTGATATTGAATCGCGAAATCTCTTTATCATTTTATAATGGCTAATATAATCAAGAAAAGAGTTCTTAGTTAGAAACTAGTTACTTAATCATGATCGTGTAAAGTTTTTTAAAATTATTTTGCAACGTATATAGTGCTTAAAAAGTACCTAAAGGGTGCTTATTTTTTGTTGAAAGATTTGGCTACACACCCTGATCTAGTCTAATACTGCACATATATCCATACCGAATGAAAGAGTGTCCTCTTTTTAAAAATACTTCACCTCAACTGCACTTAGAGGACATTTCCTTTCACCCTCATGCTCTGATCCTCAGGCCAAGGGTCATCCACTAACCTGGGAGTCTGAGTTCTGACAAGCATTGTGTTATAACATTGTGGAAATGTAATTAGCTATTACAATTAGATAGTTCAGTATATTATGTAAAAACAGATTTTGATCTGTACAACTTAACTTATTGTACTATTAATCCTTTTTTGAAAATCATCTCATATTTAGCAGTACTTTTAAGTACTAAGTAGTGAAAATTTTAGCTATATATTCAATTTAGGTTTTTTACGAAATTTAAAATACTTTTGTGGTTTATGAATTAAACTTTTTTATGCTAATTGGATATCCACGTAAATATAATTACTCTACTTTTGATGTATAAGTCAACTTTTTGAACTCCTAAATGAGAAAAAAGTTTTGGTGTTAACTTATACATCCATGGCATTTTTACTTGGAGTTTTTTTTTTTTTTTTTTTTTTTTTTTTTTTTTTTTTTTTTTTTTTTTTTTTTTTTTTTTTTTTTTTGAAGCATATTAAATGATCCTTTTATGCAAAAAGATTTTTGTGGTCTGTAAGATAAAAGCATGTGTAAGAAAAGTATTACTATGCTTTTACTTCATTTTAGTTGGTACTATTGATTTGAAAAATCTAAAGCGTCTCATTTGGAAAGATATTACAAATTTAAGGAAAATTGTCTTTCAAATTTATTGTTTACTTGTGTTTCTTCTCTTAAATTATCATCTTTACATTTTATCAAGTTATCATTACATAATATATTGTCATATTTATAAAAATAACATATTTGCATTTTTATAAATATGTATTTTTTTTCTCCAGGCACTGTGAACTTGGCTGGTCATTAAAAATTTCATTCGCTCCTAACTTATAATTTTTCATTGTAAGTAATAAATTTATATTTTTTCCTTTATTAATGTCTTACATTGAATTTTGCAGGTGCTGCATTATACATGCTTTCAGAATTTCCTGTTCCTGCCTTGCGATCCATGTTGTCCAAAACAGTTAATGCTGATGAAAAGGGTATTCATTTCTCTAATAATAATATTAAAAATGTTATTTATATGTTAACCTGTTGTTTTTGTGTTATGAAATATGTTGAACAAACCAGTAATATTAGAATTAATCAGTATCGTTTAGATATAAACAGCCATAAAATTATCAATAACCTGAATCATTTTAAGGGTACATAATTTTAACAGTGCTAAAATTAATATTTTAGATATGGTAAAAGATATCAATTTAAGACTACAAAAAGAAAATTACTACATGCTTTTATACAAAACAATTTTGCCATATGGGCTAAACAATACCTTCCAACATACACAAATTAGCTTTTAAAACTCCTCAACTTACTCACTTTTTCACATGAAAGATGAACATTCAAATGAATATGAAGTAAACAGGGATCAGGAAGTAATAAAAACTCCCTTAATAATGACAAGTTAAATGAAAATTTTATTTCTAATATGGAAAAACGTCATAATATTAGACCATTGTTATTTTTTAATTAACGTCATAATATTAAGCCAATGAAAGGTTTTGTTTTCTTCCTTAAGAATAATTATATATATATAAGCTTCGAGATCTTAATAACTTGTCTTTTATTAATTTACACTTCAAAATTCTTTGTTTCGATCTTGTAAAAGCTAAATTGAGTAAAATTTCAACAATAAAAGGAAAAATTTGACTCATTTATATTTCGTTATTAACTTTCAAAACCCTATTTTCGATAAGATAGAATTTCATAATATTTTTGGAGAATTTAAAAAAATTTGTTTCTATTAAAAGATTTTAACATAATTAAAAGCTTTAAATATAATAAATATCTTTGTAGAACTATTTTTAATTACAGTGACATTAGCAAAAATTTAAGGAAAATTAATATATCCGATTATGAATGTCACTGTAAGGAAGAAGAATATTTTGAATTTTCAATAAACATATTATTACTGGTAATTTAAATATTATACAAAATTCAGAACTTATACAACGATAAGAGAGTAGCAATTCTGGAATTTCTGGTGCCAATGGGAAATAGACCCAAACCCTCGCCATTTAAAAAAAAAAAGGATGTATTCACAACCAGAAATTTGAAATTCCATAAAATAGTTCGTAATCATTCTGCCTATTTTTCCTACCTGTACTTTCTTTACTAAAATCCGAGTTTATTAAAAAAAATTTTTAATAAATTAAAGGAAGTTACTTTTCAAGTATGTCATTGATAATATGTATACTTATCATTAGAAAATTAACAGGCAATGAAATTTTCTAATAAGATACTTAAAATGTCAGTCAAGTGGTTTTTTGTGGGGGACAGGAACTTAGTTAAAAGGAAAGGGGTAAAGCTTGTTTCAATCCAAGATTTTTCTTACTGAATCTATGCTAATTCTTTAACTTTATAATTAATGTTTTTTTTCACACACAATGAATAAAATTTTTATTGTTGTTGCTTTTCAGGGAAAATATTTGCCTTTACTGCAAGCCTGCAAAATTTATGTTATCTTTTGGGTTCTTTTATTCTTACAACCATATTTACAGAGGTTTCATTCAAAGGGTTGTGCTTTGAAGTTGTTGCAGGTTTACAAGGAATTGCATTAATAATTATCATGTAAGTCCTTAAAATAAATAAGTTCTTAGATATTTTTATGTTGTTTTTTGCTTTATTTAATTTATTGAGATTTGATAACCACTATTTTTTCCAAACCTATATGCACCCTATATTCTTAGGGCCTAAAACTAGAATAATAGTCATGCTTGAAATTGCATCTTTTGGCTCTGACTTAGAGATTGGGCATCTCCTAAGAGCAGGGCACATCAACTAAAGGTCTAATATACCCATACCCTAAATCATGATTAGCTCAAAAGCTTTATAGCTGAAGCAAAGTTCAGCAAACACCTGACAGGAATGTCTTGTAATTTCCAGGCCTTAATGCAGTCTTGCTCAAATCTTAGAGCAGAATAGACTTCACAATCACAAATTATGTGTTGTGAAGTCTTCTCCTCACGATGACAACCTTAACAAAGGGTATCAGACTCAATATCTAGTATGGTTATTCTAAAATCATCAATTTTGAAATTAAAATTCAACTTCATTAATTATATTAATTATAAACTTTGAATTATCCAGTATAATATTATTACCTTGTGTAGATCCAGTTTCGGGCCAATCCAAGGTAATTAACAAATCAAACTCTATTCTGGACTTCCTTAAGAATGTACCATGTAATGATCCCATCATCCTCTATTTACGCTTCTATTTTCATATTTGTAATTAAGCAAATTTGTTACGAATATATCTTAAATCATTGTTTGAAAGATAAGTGGAAGTGCATATGAATTCACTAATTTATATATTACAATTTGTGTTTTATTCTGTATTTGCTAGAATTTTTATTTTTTGCTTGATATGTTTTATTTTACATTTTTAGCTTTATTTATTCTATTTTCTTTTCAATGTTTCTGAATCGTTTCACACTGTTGTATTGTAACTAATATATATACACAACACACACACACATTCAGGCACGCTTACATATGTATATATGTAATTATATAATCCCTAAGCTTGCTTTTTTTTATGTCTGAATTATGATGTACTTTTTGATACTTCTTAATTATTAAATGGTCAGATAAACACCCTCCCCTATGAAAAAGAACACCCAATGCATATGTTTCTCATTTCAAAATGCATTTGTTTCAGATTTAAGAATTCCATTCATAGTGCTACAATATCTTAGCAATTTTGTCAGTTATTCCTTCTCTCACAATATCAATTATCTTAGTATTTTGTCAAAGGATTTTTTTAAATCAAAATTAGCTTGTTCTAATTACATTTTTGTGAAGCTTTTAAAAATTAAAAAATATTACTACACTCAATTGAAATAGTGGTTACTTTATATTTTTATAAAACTTGCAATTTGGTTTTGATTTAAAAAAAAAAATTTTTTTTTTTCATTTTTATGTTTATATTTAATACACATTTAATTCTCTTTTAGATATCTATATTTTACAAGACATGAATATGTTATGGTCTATGAAACTGTTGTAAATGGTAAGTGTTTCCTATTATTTAATCATAGCAAATCTATCATATTGCATTTGAAGAATCATTTTAAAAGCTTTTTCAATAGTTTTTGATTGAAACTGGATTCACTTGATAGTATAACTAGACGCAATTAAGTTACAACCCTAATTTGCATTTCAGTTCCCTTTGGGGGGAAGGTTTTCACGATTGCCACTCCATGGGAGGAACAGGGAAAACCTGGAACATACAGGAAATTTAAAAATCACCTAAAAGTCAGGGAATTTTGATTTTTTTTTATTTACAAACTGGGGGAAATACAGCGAATTATGTTTCTTATTTTCGTCTTTTAAAAAAATGGTAACCACTCAATGCATAATCTATGGGATAGTTATGGATTATATTCCAACTATACTAAACTATTTCATTTACTATAACATTATTTAAGTATGTTCAGCTGTTCCTTTTTTTCTCTTAAGTTTTTCCAGCAATTAAAGCTTGTATAGTCAACCCAATGTAACTCTCACAAGAGTGCAGTAATTGTGTTTCCATATCAACGAGATCCATATCTGTGGTCTTGTTCTAACAGATATTTTTTTTCCTTTTTATAAAATAATAACACCAAATTGGCCCACCTTTGAAACCTTGAAGCTGTTTAGCTATTAATTTAGCGTATAGATGATTTTTAATCTTAGGTACTGAGAATCTTTTTTTCTCGTTATTCTTCAATCCAGTTTTCTGAGTCATTTTCCAATCACAAAAATTTTACTATTCCAGACATTCTTATATGATTTTGTTGGGGCAACTTCGATATTATCTAACAAATAAGTTGGTTTAAATGTATTCAAAATATTTGTATGAGGTTCTAGAGAGCTCTTTTGGACGATCTCTAAGAGTGATCTACAGCGTCATATTGCAGTCAGAATGCACTGGGCTGTCAATGATTTATTTTCAGAGTGGAAAGTTAAGCAGGGAAAAAAAAGTTATTTTAGAAAAGCTAAGTATTTTAAACAAACCTCTTATCATCTTCTGAAGTGAACTAATTTTTATGAAATAAAATTAAATGCAAACTCAAACAAAAAATCAAAATTGTTTATTTATTTGAAATAGTTCTATCATTCATAATTGGTTAATTTGCTTTTATGCCTCAATATATCAGTAAGTAGGGATTATTTTTATTTCTGCTAAATTGTATTCATCAATCCGGCTTTCATGAGCCAACAAAAGTGTCATTTCCGCACTAAGAAAATGACACTAACTAAAATTAAAATCCTTTGCGAAAAATCGTGTACCTTCGATAACATTTTGAAATCAATGGAGGTAACCCTTAAAAACGACCAACCTCCATTTACAACCATTTCACTGTGGAGCAGAGAGTGGTCGCTCCCTGAGAGGTTTCACTGTATTAAATTTAATGAAATACTTTAATATCTGTGTGAAAGAAAGTAAAATATAGACATTCCTGGTTTAAATGTTCTCAAAAGTTTTTCCCTATGAATATCAGTTCAGTTTTCTTGCTTAAAATCAGAATGATTATAATTTCTCTCTAAATTAAAATCGTAAAGGGCAAACGCTGCTTTGAGTGCCTCAACCCCTGGTTATTTTTTGTTTTGCTGAGGAAAAACTACACGACTTAGAAACTTGAAATCACTGAGATGTTTAGAAATACTTTCAATGAAATAAAAAGAATTTAACAATAGGGAGTTCATGAATTATTAACTGCTAAACTATTTGGAAATAATACCATTCGGGTTGCTCTATAGGCTATAGGAATGCAACCATAGTGTTGGAGTTCAAAGGACCCCATTTGTTTATGAACTTAACACAGAGTTTTTCTTTCAGAATTCTAATTTCTTCAAAACTTATTGCGATTTTAAATAATTTTTTTTATTTTTGGTAATTTTTTTTCTACTTTATGTTACGTTTTGCTTTGCTGTTTAAATTTATGAGACTTAGAAACTTGAAGTCGCAAAGGTGTGTAGAAAAAGGAATAGGGGGTATAACAGAATAAAAAAAGTTACAAATTCGACAATTATTAACTGTTAAGCTTGTAGTAAAAAAAAAAGCATGTTGGTCAATCTGCTGTCTACTAAAACTAAAAGGCAACTATAGAATTGGAATTTGATGTGCTGGTAGGATTGTTTTATATTATAATTTTGGAGGGAAACAGTTATTATATATTATCATTTTTTTTTAAAAAATAAAATGTTTTATGATATTTTCTTTTCAGCAGATGGTAGTGTCACTGAAACTTCCTATGTTGCCCCAGATGAAAATTCTATTTATTAGTATGCAACCTGTCTAAATCATTCTACTGAAAAGGATTCTACTGATTTTTAATTTATGCCATTTATTTCATGACTTGGTGATTTTTTCACATCAATCCCTGTGGCAGAATTTTTTCGAACTATCTGCGACACAACTCTCTAGCACTAATATTTTTCTGCATGGTACTTTTAATTCGTACCTGGTTCACCTCATTGGGAGGCGAATGCT